TTATTACTTTTATTTTTATGTGCACTGGTGTTTTGCCTTTATGTGTATCTGTGTGAGAGTATCAGATTCCCTGGAACTGAAGTCAAAGACAGTTGTGAGCTGCCATGTGAGTGCTAGGAATTGAACCCTAGTCCTCTAGAAGAGCAGCCAGTGATCTCAACCATTTCTCCAGGCCTCTAGTCCCACTCTTAAACTCATCTTTTTTTCCCTGGATTTTCCAGGGTTTCTTTGTGTAGCCCTGGCTGTCCTGCAACTATCTCTGTAGACCAGGATGGCCTTGAACTCACAGGAATCCACCTGCCTCTGCCTCCTGAGTGCTGGAATTAAAGGCATGTGCCATCATTGCCAGGCAATCTTCTTTCAATTCTTTTTTTTTAACTAGTTTATTTAAATTTATTTTATGTGCATTGGGGTGAAGGTGTTAGATCTCCTGGAACTGGAGTTACAGACAGTTGTGAGCTGCCATGTGGGTGCTGGGAATTGAACCCGGGTCCTCTGGAAGAACAGCCAGTGCTCTTAACCACTGAGCCATCTCTCCAGCCCCCTTCTTTCAATTCTTAATGATGTCAGTTGCCTATGTGAGATCTTTGTACTTAGAATATATTATTGGTAGTGGAAAGGGGTCTACTGGGGATGGTAGAAAACAAGGGGCATACAAGGGATTAGGAAAAAAAGAAGCTAACAAAATAAATTATGTATGAAAATGCCATAATGAAATGTATTATTTAGTATGCTAACTTAAAACCACAAAACGGCCAACAAGATGACTCAGTGGGTAAAGGCACTTGCAACACAGACACAAGCCCAACAACCTCAGTTTGATTACCAGAATCTACATGAAGGTAGAAGGAGAAAACTGGCCCCACAAAGATATGCTCTGATCTAAGCATGCATGCCACTACAGACAATCATAATAATTTTAAACCACACATTAAAAAATAGTATATACTATCTATATCTATATCGACTACAAATTTACAAACTATAAAGCATTTACTCCAAATCCATAGTTAACATACATAACTTTCTTTAGAGACAAAGCTGACTAACAAATATTTCATAAATGGAGCAGACCTTCAGGTGAAATCAAAGTAGTACCTTGGAAAGCACTTAATTCTCAGTCAGGCAAAGATTAAATTAATTATATTAAATACACAGAATAAAATTATACAGCAGTCGACAAGCGTTGGTGGCGCATGCCTTTAATCCCAGAACTCGGGAGGCAGAGGCAGGTGGATCTCTGTGAGTTCCAGGCCAGCCTGGTCTCCAGAGTGAGTGCCAGGATAGGCTCCAAAGCTACACAGAGAAAGAAACCCTGTCTCAAAAAACAAAATCAAAGAAAAAAAACTGTATTTTGTTTCTACACCTGAAATGATACTAACAAACACTAAGATGAAGTACATGGCCAGTGCTAATCACATCACTGGTATTGGCTGCTTACATTAGGTGGTAATTTTTAAGTGTTTGAGTATTGAAGTGTATGGCTTTAGTAGCATAATCCAAGTCTGGTATGTATTGTAAGATAGATTAATTTGCCTCTACCAAAATATATTTAACTTTCATTTTTGTCACAGAACTTATCTTCTAATCAAATGAAAAGCCACCTCAGTTCTTGCAATAGAAGTAAGATGTGGGATGGACCAGTAATTCAGACACTAGAGATTTGGGATATTATTTCATCTGTCCACTAGAGGGAAGTGTTGAACTTAAAATGTTTTTTAAAATGGCTTGTTTTTGAACTGACATTTAACATCACAGGAAGCCACATTGTGCTGTTAGAAAATAAACTTGTTTTCTTTCCACATCTTCTACAAACACATACCAAAAACTATGGTTCTTTATATGTACTCATGTAAACAACACATCTCAGAATCCAAACTGTAGCTCCAATCCTGAGGAATTTTAATTATCCTGGTAGACATATATTTAGAAAAGCATCAGAGCAAACGTACTCTTTCTAGCTTAGAAAATACTTCAAGCGTGGTGTACAACACTAATCTGGGATAAGGTTTCTCCTGAAAGGACCAGAACAAAAAACAGTTTGTTCATGTGTTGTAAACTGTACACTGTGAGAGAGTGAACTGTGGCTCAGCCATGAAGAGCATGTATTGCTCTTCCAAACCCAAGTGAGATTCCTAGCACCCACATCAGGAGGCTCATAATAACCTGTAACTCCAGCTCCCGAGGCTCCCGCACCTCTGGCATCTGCAGATGCCTGCCCCTCCCCGATAACTAAAAATAAATTTTAAAAAGTAAGGTTCATAATCGCACAGAGTCATAATGGGTCATTTGGATAGAAAACAAAATTTAAAAATTGATAAATAAACTGTACATTGTGTCAGAACCAGCTTGGTCTTTTTCTCTACACCTAGACCATCTGTGGGTCTCTATGTTAATCACCATCTACTACAGGCAGACATTTGTGTGATAAGGGTTAATGGGTTTATTAATCTATAGGTAAAGCAATAAATCATTAGGACTCAGTTTAATACTATGTCTATTTAACAGCATAAAAGTAGTAAGTTCTCTTGGAAGAAGGTATGGGTTGCATTTTGTATTTGGAGACTTGCATCCAGTCGAAAGTGGTTGGTTACTCTCACAATGTTTGCAGCAAATGTTATACCAACAGCATGTCTTTCCAGATATTTTTTTCCGCTTTGGGTTTTTGAGATTGGGGTTTCTTTCTGTAGCCCTAGCTGTCCTAGAACTAGATGTGTAGACTAGACTGGCCTCGAACTCACAGAGATCCGACTGCCTCTGCCTCCTGAGTGCTGGGATAATGTGGCTCTCAGGGTTTACAGCCAGGTAAAACTGATGACGGCTTTTCTCCTCTGGGAGCATACATAGCACCTTCCAGCGCTGTGAAAGCGAGCCCACTAGGCATGAAGCTTCCAAGTGAGCACCGGCTTCATTTCTCCATGTCCTATGGCTCAAGTATGTGCTGTCTTTAGCAACACGACCTGTCAAGTGATGGAGGGTAACCAACAGCAATACAATAGCCAGTAATGTCCATGGGTCTGTGAGGGTTTATGGGAACATCACTGGCCCACAACTCCACTCTGGCTCTGGGCTTTTTATTTGTTCGAATCTGGTATCTAGCAGTGTCATCCTGCTAGATGGTAACTCTATTTGAACTGCTCATTTATGTGCATATGTATTTCAGGAAGCTTCTACAGTAGTAGGTTTCCATATGACTTTTTGGAAAGGTCATTAGTGTAATTATCCTACCCTGCATTCCCTCCTCTAGCCTGCCCTCCCATCCCCAACTCCAACTCAACTCTTTCGTTCCTTTAATCTCCTGCAATGTTTTTGAGATTTTACTTTTATTTTATGTATATGGGTGTTTGCCTGAATGCATGTCTGTGTACCACATGCATGCAGTACCCACAGAAGCCAGCAGAGAGCACTGGATTTCCTGTGACTGGAGTTACAGACAGTTGTAAGTCACCATGTAGGTGCTGGGAATTAGACCTAGGTCCTCTGTAATGTTTCTGTACAGCAAAGGAACAGATGGCTGAGTGAAGAGATCACCTAAAGAATGAGAGAAAAACTTGGCCAGCTATCCACCTTACAGAGGATTAATATCTAGAATAAACAAAAACCTAAATACAAGGAAAATAACCCAATCCAACAATTGGCAAGGAAACTGAACAGACTTCTCAAAAGAAGAAATACAAATGGACAATAAACATTTTAACATTATATATGTATCTGTATGTATGTATGTACCTAGTAGTTTACCATAGTTAGTAACTCCAGTTCCAGGGGCTGGAACCCTCTTTTGGCCTCCACAGTCACTAGGCTCATAGATGGTGCATATACATATAAGCGGGCAAAAAAACTCATACACATAAAAATAAATAAATAAATCCTTCAAAAGAGAAAGAATAACTGTCAACTGCTCATCCACTCCAAGGTTCATGGAACATGAAGAGAGAAAGAATATAAGACCTAGACTCTGAAAGTGCTGTGTGGAACTGTCTTCCAGGCACAAGATTCCACCTGCCAACATACTAACATGGAGAGGGGAAGAGGTTCTTGAGGCCACACCCATCCTTAAGAATTTAGAGGCAGTTAATGATGCTAGTCCCTCATAAGGACCTGCCCCCTCTAAGTATCCATGGGCAGTTCATGGTTGTGGGGGAAGAAGAGACATTAACTTCTTGCTATAGCAAGTGCTGAGCTGCCCATGCTCCTGCAATAATCCCCCATCCACGCACCTATGGACAACCATAAGTAAACACACAAGTTTACCCCAATATAGACGTGAAAGTAGAAGGGGAATGTTGGGAAGAAGAAAAAGGATCGGCAGAAGTAAAAGGGGAGTGCATATGATCAAAATACACTATATACATGTATGAAAGTGTCATAATAACAAGCCCATTATTGATATGGCCATGGTGGCACACATCTTTAATCTTAGCACTATGGAGGCAGAGCCAGGTGGATCTCTGAGTTCAAGGCCAGCCTGATCTACAAAGACAGCTCCAAGACAGCCAGGGCTGTTACACAGAGAAACCCTGTCTTGAACCTTCCCCAAAATTATTTTGTATAATTAATATATGCTAATAAAAGTAAAAAAAATTGCCTACTTTAGGTAAGCATGGTGGCTCATGCTGAAAATCCCAGCACTAAGGAGGTGGAGGCATGAGAATCAGGAGTTCAGGAACAGCAAGAGATATGCAGCAAGTTTAAGTCCAGCCTGGTCTACATTAGACCCTGTCTCAAAAATAAAGACTACAAATCATATACACTATTCACTGAAGCCGTCCAACTGTAATATTCATGGTATTTATTTGTAACGGCTTCCCAACTGTCATGTCACTACAAATGAAACATGGCCTTCCAGAAAGCAAAGACTTAGAATTGTTTTTCAAGTGAGTGGCTAGTAAATTATCTATTAATAAAATGTAATACCATAAGAATCAAAAACACATTTTAGTACCGTGATGTAGAGGATATGAATGGCTCTGAATAAATGGTAGCGGGAAACCATAGAAGAAATGGTCTATATGCTTTAATTCAAGCAGATTTTGGAAAGACATGGGTATTGCATAACTAGAGAATCACTTTCTCTTGTGGGAGGTGTGAAGATAGACAAGAATGGGATATTAAAGAACACAGAGAAATAGTTCCTCAACTTGAGCAGGCATTGATGGAATTTCCACGTGTAATGATGGAACAGCAAACAAATGCATGCCTGTTCTCATTTCTACTTATTTGTTGTAGAACTTCATCAATAGACCACTACATCTAAAAAAAAAACACATTTTAGAAACTGAATTATTTTTAAAATACCTGTACTATAAGCTGTAACTCTCTTCGTTCTGCTTCCCATTGTTCTGCTTGTAATCTAAACTCCTCCAATGCAGTCTCCCTGACATGAGACTCCATCTCATTCTTCTCTTGTTGACGTTTTTCCAGTGCTTCCTTTATGTGAATAAAATCTTGCTTTACTATTACATCAATAAGGGTTACCTATTATCTTTTAAACCTAGTTAAACTTACAAAGGGGCTCTCCCTTCAATAGACTGTTAAAAACTTGTAATTCATGTTAAAACCTTGGTGCTGGGGGTACAGCTACTAGTAGCTGCTTAGCATGCTTCAAGCCCTGGGTTCAATCCCCATCGTGCACAACACCAGGAATGGTGGTACATATCTATAGTCTCAGGATTTGGGAGGTGGTGGCAGAATAATCAGAAGTTCATGGCAATCCTTGTCTATTCTGAGAGTTCAAGGCCAGCCAAGGACACATGAGACTCTGGCTCAAAAAAAATTAATAATTCATGTTTAAAACTTAATAAAATTATCACTTTAATTATCAAAATATAAATCTGAAATAAATAAATTCAACATCAGAGTTTGGGACAAAAATGAAAGAAACAAAAATAGTCCAGTTAGTAGAGAAATCTTTACCTGTGAAAAACTGTAGTATCCCTAAAATGTATATGCAAACCTGGTAAAGAAAAAGAGTATTTCTACCGGGTGGTGGTAGCACATGACTTTAATCCCAGCACTTGGGAGGCAGAGGTAGGTGGATCTCTATGAGTTTGAGGCCAGCGTGGTCTACAGAGCAAGTTCCCAGACAGCCAATACGACACAGAGAAACCTTGTCTCAGAAAAAACAAGACTATTCCTAAATGTTAAAACTTTGAAAATACAACTACTCAGTTCAGACTATAACTAATCTCTAGTTCTACAAATAAAGAGTAGTTTCAAAGGCTTTTCCTTTTTAATTTTCCCAAGTATACCACATTTATGAGATCTAATTAGGTCCAAATCCTTAATATAAAATGCAGGTTTCCTTTGAAGATCAATTTTCTAGCCTACAGGTTTAAAACAAAGTCCTCATTAACATGGGGAGAAAAGGGTCTACGGTTTATGTGAGAAAAAAAAGGGATCTGCCCACATGGATATTTTATTATAAATATTACCCTCTTAACTTTCACTAGCAGAGAGCCTCAAGATCCTGAGACTTCCCCTACCCCCAGGACTTAAAAAGTGACTCCTGTTCAATGCCCAGCTCCTCTACGCATCTCAGTGCAGGGGAGCTCAAAGACAGCAGGCGAAACTCAAAGCAGAGATATCCTAAGTAGTTGAAAAGAACATACCAAGACTTCATACCTTTAGGTACAAGCTAATTGATGGAAGGAATGCTGCCATCATCCCCCTTCTTTTTTCCTGGTGTCACATTTTATTCAGGCAAAGTAACACATGTCCACCCAAGGATTTATAGACTAAACACACCTACACATCCATCATCCAAACACCAGAACATAGCAATGCAGTGGTAACCAAGAGACAAGCCCGGATTATTGACAGGGAGAAAAATAAAAGTGGATCAGCTGATACTGTCTGGAGACACTTGGGACAAAACTTTTACATTTACTAAATGCTGTGATAAAATCGTTTTGAAGAGAAAACACAATATAGGGAACAAGTAAAGTCCTGCGTGAGTGTGTGTTATTTGACCCGTGTCAAGGACCAGTGCCTCAGCCCCATGGGAGTGGCAAAGCCTATCCCAGATGAGGCTCAAAAGGATGGTGAAGCCTTTCTCAGATACAGTGTTGATTTGATATTGTGTACAGAAAACTTCCATCATAGCTTTCTCCCCAGACATTTATGACCTTAAGACTGCTCTCCTGCAGAGACTGTGCCAGTGAAGATGAGCTAACCCTGGCTAATCCTGCCTCCTTGCTCACCTGGGTACCATAGCCCTACCTCCATGTTTATCTGCATGTAGTAACCCCACCTCCTTGTTTAGCTGTAAAAATAAACATGATGAGCTTCCAGGATGCTGAGGCTTCTCCATCAGAGGGCCCAGAACACCCAATACCAGCTTTTCTATATCCCTGTGTCTGTACTTTCTTTATTCTCTTACCTTCCCAGTCAGGTCAAGTCCCTGAGACCATACAAGAATGCAGCAATGCAAAAGAATAATGTATATTTAAGGTACATACATACTGGGCATTTTTACATTTTTCTTTTCTTTTTAAAAAATTTAAAGTAGGCAGGCAGTGATGACGCATGCTTTTTTTTTTTTTTTTTTTTTTTTTTTTTTTTTTTTGGTTTTTCGAGACAGGGTTTCTCTATGTAGCTTGGGAGCCTATTCTGCCACTCCCTCTATAGACCAGGCTAGCCTTGAACTCACAGAGACCCGCCTGCCTCTGCCTCCTGAGTGCTGGGATTAAAGGTATGCACAACCAACACCGGGCTTGGCACATGGCTTTAATCCTAGCACTTGGGAGGCAGAGACAGGTGAATCTCTGAGTTTGAGGCCAGTCTGGTCTACTGAGTGAGTTCCCCGACAGCCTCCAAAGCTACAGAGAAAACCTGTCTCAAAAAAAAAAAAAAAAAAAGTTAAATAAAAGTTAAACTATTATAGAAGGCAGTGGTAGCACATGCCTTTAACCTCAGGACTTGGGAGTCAGAATTAGGAAGATCTCTAGGAGTTTGAGGCCCTTCTGGTTGAGTTCCAGGACATCCAGGGCTACACAGAGAAACCTTGTCTCAGGGAAGAAGAAAAAAATTAAAAATTTACTTCAAAATCATGGCACACATACTCAATTCAATATCTACTAAGTTGCTTGTCAACTTCAACCCTAGCCCCACTTGTACTTTAGGAAGTGAAAAAAAAGAAGAAAAAGGACTAAAACTATGGAAATATATATCTAACAATAGCCTTAGTAAAACTTAATGTTTTGCATCTCAGTATTCATCCTAGAATGTACCCTACATAATAAGGCATTAAAAAAACACATAATCTTCTGTATTTATATCATATTCAAACTGAAATCTAGAACTCATTTTTTGTTTCCTTGTTTCTGGACACAGGGCTTTTCTGTATAGCCATGGCTGTCCTGGAACTCACTCTGTAGTCCAGAATGGCCTTGAATGCACAAAGATCCACCTGCCTCTGCCCCCTGAGTGCTGGGATTAAAGATGTGAGCCACCACTGCCCGGCTAGAACCCACATTTTTAAAATCCACAATTTAATGTTGCTAGAACAAAAGGGATGTGTGTATCTTAACTTTTACAGGTTTTGGGGGGTTTTTTTGGTTTTTTTTGTTTGTTTGTTTTGGTTTGGTTTGGTTTGTTTTTTGGTTTTTCAAGACAGTGTTTCCCTGTGTAGCTTTGGAGCCTGTCCTGGAACTAGCTCTTGTAGACCAGGATGGTCTCAAACTTACAGAGATCTGCCTGCCTCTGCCTCCCAAGTGCTGGGATTAAAGGCATTCGCCACCACCACCTGGCTTTAACTTTTACTGTATTAGAAAGTACTTGTTGCTTTCCTTTTGGTTCTCATTTTTACCTTTTGTTTGTTTGATTTCTGTTGTGCTTCTTCTATTTATTTGTGGTGATGTGGATCAAACCCAAGGCCTCAGACAGTCCAGTTGAAGCAAGGACTTACCACTGAGATCAGAGATCTCAAATGCTTTTCACAAAATAAACAGTAGACATCTTAATACAATGCTAAAGCACAACAAAGGAGAGATGTGGAAATGCCTCTAAGTGGGAGGGAGGAGGGAGAGATGAAGGGAGGGAAGCAGGGAGGGAGGGAGAGAGGGAGGCAGGGAGGAAGCCCAAGGTTAGTCTGATGTAATACCCACCTCAGTGGATACTATATAGAGAAGCTTTCACTTAGGTGAAGTATTTTACCTGTAGAGTTTTTTGTAACTTGTTTTTTTCCTGCATAAGTGACTCGTATTCTCGATTGCAATTTTGAATTATATTGTCTCTTTCCTCCAAATCATGTTCAAATCTCCTGCATTCTTCTTTCCATTTCTCTTGGGAAGTCTGAAATGTTTTCTCGATTTCACTTGCCTTTTCTTGAAGTTCTAAATTCTGAGCTATTAAAAATATGATAGAATTAATATATTTATAACTACAAATTAATCCATTAAGAGTCTAAGAACCTAACCATTGGAGCTTTCTTTACTACATTATCTTTAGGACAAAGTATTTAACTTTCTCCCTTCAGCAAACTCTAGAAAATCTCACTATCCCTGTAGTACTATATTGATTTTTCACTCTCTTCCTTCCCTCAGATGGAGGTGATTTTTCTATGAGCCAGTATGGCATATTCTTGAAAGCATGCCCATGTTTAGGTATACCTCCAGCACTAGCTGCACCTAACACTAATTTTTTCCTCTTTTCAAGAAAACAAATCTGTCTGGACATAGTGGTGTACACCTTTAATCCTAGCACTCTGGAGGCAAAGGCAGACAGATCTCTTGAGTTGGAGGCCAGCCTGGTCTATAAAGTGAGTTCCAGGACAGCCAGGGCATTGTAAAGAGACCCTGTCTCAAAAGAAGACAGATACACATACACATACAAATAAACAAACAAACAAAACAAATAAATAGATAATCTGGGACTACAAATAGCTCAGTGGGTCAAATCACTAGCCTCAGAAACCTGATGACCTGAGTTTGATTCCCAGATTCCACAATGAAAGAAAGGAACAAATCCTCTGACCTCCCCATGTACCCCATGGCCAATGGCTTAGGCTTATTACTAGCTCTCTCTCTCTCTCTCTCTCTCTCTCTCTCTCTCTCTCTCTCTCTCCTATACAATAGTAAGGTTTTTTTTAAAAGAAAACTAGCTAAATGTGTGTTTTTCTCTTTTTTTGAACACAGACTTAACTAGGATTATCTTATATGTATATATGTATGTGTTTGTGTGTGTGTGTGAGTGTGTGGCATATAACATGCATTGCAAAGGTCACAGAGAGATGTCAGCTGTCCTGCTCTATCACTCTCCATCATATTTCTCTGAAACAGAGCTTCTCACTAAACTTCGAGCTTGGCTGGCAGCCAACAAACCCAAATGGTCCTCCTATCTCTGTCCCCCACAGCACCAGAACTGACTTTATTTACAGCATGATACTCAAGATAAAATCTTTGGAGTTACATGTGTATGTGTGTGCATGGCTGGTTTTTTATGTCGGTGCTGGGTACTTGAACTCCGGCCCTCATTCTTAATGAATAAGGACTCCTACTGAGCCATCCCTCTAGCCCCATCCTGATCTTTTAAAAGACCATGTTCCAAGAGCTACTTTATTTTTTTTATTTATTTATATTTTTTTTGGTTTTTTTGAGACAGGGTTTCTTTGTGGCTTTGCAGGCTGTCCTGGAACTAGCTCTTATAGACCAGGCTGGTCTCAAACTCACAGAGATCCTCCTGCCTCTGCCTCCCGAGTTCTGGTATTAAAGGCATGCACCACCACTGCCTGGCGACTATCTTACTTTTAAGGTGTGTTAAAATTAACATGTTTCTAATAATGAAATATCAAAAACTGTAATCTTGAGTCTTAAAAAAAAAAGTAGCTCAGTCTGGAGAGATGGCTCAGAGGTTAAAAGCACTGGCTGCTCTTCTAGAGGTCCTGAGTTCAATTCCCAGCAACATGTTGGCTCACAACCACCTGTATTGAGATCTGTTGTCTGCTTCTGTCTGTAGGCATACATGCAGGCAGAACACTACATATAAATAAGTCTTTTTTAAAAAAAATAGCTCTAAGGGGCTGGAGCAGTGGCTCAGGAGTGCAGAGTACTTGTTGCTCTTATAGAGGATCCAGATTTGGTTCCCAATCATATGTAAATCCAGTTAGAGGGAATCTGATGGCCTCTTCCAACCTCTGGGGGCTTCATACATTCCTGATGTACCTATGTACATGCTGGCAAAAGACACATAAATAAAAAAAAATCCCTTATGAGATCCCGTGCCCTCTTCTGGTGTGCAGATATACATGGAAGCAGAATGTTGTATACATGATAAATAAATAAATAAAAAGAAAGAAAGAAAGAAAAATGGAGTCATTTGTTAAAAAAAAAAAAAAAAAGATAGTCAGGTAACTCAGGGTGTAATAGTACTGCTGCAGCCTCAGAGCTATCTTACCCTGCCCTCACCACAGAGGCACTCCTCTACTCTGGCCCTACTATCACCCTAGCAGTGAGCAGCCCTTCATACTACCACTGCTGTTTAAGCATTTAGAAAAGTAGGGTATGGCTTCCAGGTCTGGCTTTACCAACTAACTCCTGATCAAGTCTCTCTGATTCTCTGACCACAGTTGTAAGGATTCATTCTGCGGGCCTGCCCCTGTCACCTGGCAGAATGCACTTAGGCAGTAACCTGGTCAGCCCAGGTGCAAAAGAATCCTTTAAAATAAAGACCTCCACCCACTTACGCACTCTCTTTACCCCCTTGCCCTTTCTAATAAAACTCACTAAGCTCTGGCATGTTTGTGTCCCATCGTTGTAACCCCCCACGCCACCCCTTACCCCCTGTCCTCCCCATCCACCTCAGTGTGTGTGTGTGTGTGTGTGTGTGTGTGTGTGTGTGTGTGTGTGTGTGTCCTTGCCCTTTATCCTAACAACAGTAGGAATGAAAACACCTCATTAAGTTTTAGTGGAGATGCAAATGAAGTATGCATAAACATATGTGTTAAACAAAAATGTACCATGAATTTTAAAATTCTTTTTCTTTCTGTTTTTCATGGATCCTACAAAAGATACAAAACTCAAAACTGTAAGCTTTTTCCATTTTTTTTTTTTTTTTTGGTAGCTTCTGATTCTTGCCTTTATGGAATATACCCTCTTTTATGGAACATATTTTCTTTCTACTCTAAGGCTATCAACATGGTTGCAAATTTTCACTTCCCCACAGAAATATATTTCTTCCAAGTTGATTTTTTTTTCTCTCTCCATTTAAAGGTTTTCCTCAAATATCTGATGATTCTTGTTACCTACTCAATTGACAGTAAAGAAGCTCCAAGTATATTTAACAAATCTAGTTTCTGACCTTGTGGGTGACAGCTAAGAACTGTGGTCTTCACAGGAAGATAATCTGTGTCCTTTACTGAGAAACCCACATCATCAGGACCATTAGATTTTCCTTCTTGCTTTGGTCAGGTCATTCACAGAAAAGGCCTCCAAATTCCCACATGAGGTACAGGGACCTGAGTACTAGCTTCTGAGAAGCCAGCAGGAAAGGGAACTGCAGGAAATGGTTCTCAAACACTTTGCCTTAGATACATGATCTTCCTGGGTTTTCCAGGTCCCTGTTTGATGATGTACAGAGCTTGAGCACCTCAACTTCTGCTAGGAAATGGAGTGATTGCAAAGCAATAGGCTCTTTGAAGACATCTCAAGATCAGACCCCATCTTCAGTCCTCTGCAAGCACCAGACATGCATGTGGTACACAGACATGCATATAAAATATTTAAAATATTCCGCTGGGTGGTGGTGGCCCACCCTTTAGTCCTAACACTCAGGAGGCAGAAACAGGCAGATCTCTCTGAGTTCAAGGCCAGCCTGTCTACAGAGTAAGTTCCAGAACAGCCAGAGCTATAAAGAGAAACCCTGTCTCAAAATATGAAAAGTAAATAAATGTTTCAGTCTACCCTAGGCAATTGTTCAATTTTTGCTACATTTGTATTATCAGACATTCATCCCTCTACCCACGCATCTGCTAATTTACACCCAGCACTCCATCATACTTCTGCAGGTATGCATTTCCAACCAGAAAGTGAGCATCATAACATCTCACGCCTATAACTCATCCAATATGTCAACAGGAAAAGCACTGATATGATCACTAACCACATACAATACAGTCTTACTATTTTAAGTACAATTTACATACACTGAGATGCACAACTCTTTACCATTTAAGACTTTACAAATGTAAGAGCTTTAGGTTACACTTCTCTTAGTTTACCTAACGGCCACACCCCTTCTAATCCAAACCACTACCAAAACATAAAAATACCCTTTAACCCAAAACTTTTCCTCATTTTTTTTAAATTTTTATTTTATGAATATGGTATTTTGCCTGCATGCAGGAATGTACACCACTTTGTGCTTGGTGCCTATAGAATCTAGAAAAGAGTGTTGGATGCCTGGAAGTTAGTTGGAGTAAACAAACAGTTGTGAGCCTCCTTGTAGATGCTGGGAATGAAACCCAGGTCCTGTGGAAGAACAGTCAGTGTTCTTAACCTCTGAGGCATCTCTCCAGCCCCAAATTACCTCATATTTTTGTCTACTGCCTATTCATCTCAGAGACAACCACTATTCAGATTTTATTCACTAACAATTTGCTTTTCCTGTTGTAGAATTTTATGTACAAAAAAATCATATATGATGTCCTCATGTATATAAAATTTCTTTCACTCAACATTTTCTAAGAGTCATGCCTTTGACTGCACATATTAACTGCTATAATGGGCATGTGCCACTGTGCCTGGCTAACAAAAGGAGTCTTAATAGTAAATCACCAGCAGAAAATGGGTAACTGTTGATGTGGTATGTTTCTATACTGCCATAATTTAATTATCAATACCAAGATTATACACCAATATGAATCTCTGACAAAAGCAATAACATTAGAAAAAAAGAAGCTGGACACAAAAGAATACAAGCTAGATTATTCAATTCCCATAAAGGCCAAAAGTCCAGCATTAGTGGTGCACACCTTTAATCCCAGCACTCAGGAGGCAGAGGCAGGCGGATCTCTGTGAGCTCAAGGTCAGCCTGGTCTACAGAGAGAGTTCCAGGACAGGCTCCAAAGCTACACAGAGAAACCCCCGTCTCGAAAACCAAAATAAATAAATAAATAAATAAATAAATAAATAAATAAATAAAATACAAAAGAAGATTAGAAAAAGAAAAGAGGAAAACTGGGGCTGGAGAGATGCCTCAGCTATTAGAGCACTACTGGTGGCTGCTCTTACAGAGGACCTGGGTAGGTCTGATTCCCAGCACTCAAATGGCAGCTCACAACTCCAGTTCCAGGAGATCTGATACCCTCTTTTGGCCTCCACAGGCACTAGGCAAATATGTGCTACCCAGACATATATGCAAGCAAAAACCCCAAACACATCAAAATATTTTAACTTAGAAAAAAAGGAAAATATAAATCACACTATCAAAAACTAGGATAGTAATTAGCAAGATAAAAGGGCTTTAGGCACTTTTCTCTAACATGATCTGGATGCTTGCTTTGAGTTTTATGGTAATCTAAGTGAATTTGTGTACATTAATTATAGGAGGATTGGGGTGTTAAACTTGGTGCCTTTTTCTTTTCTAGGCACATAATATAATGCAGTGACACATAAACCTACCTAATCAACAAGTCAACTGCAGTGTTTCTGGAACATACAGTCAGGCTAGAAATCCTAGCTCAGATTATATGTTATGAAGGGGTCTAGAGTGTATATAGAACACACACACACACACACACACACACACTTTCTTTTATTATTTTGAATATTGCTTAAAGAACAAGTATTCCAAAACCCCAATTAGCAGACTTCTGTACTCTTCTTTTCCATGCATGCAACAACATAAAAATATTAATGAATAAATACTTCAGCTGGTAGAGTACCTGACCAGTACTCACAGAGCCGTGTGTTCAATCACTGCATAAATCAGGAACAGTGGAACATGTCTGTGACTTCAGCACTCAAGTGGTAAAAGCAAGAAATAACCCAAGTTCAAGGTCATCTTCAGCTACATGGCAAGTTTGAGCCATCCAAGGATACTTGACATCCTTCCCCCACCCCCAAAAAACATCTCAAAAAAATTAATGTAGGACTGAAAACCCAATTCAGTGACAGACTGTTTGCTTGCTATGCACGAAGCCCTGGGTTAAATGTGGAAACAAATGAATTTAAAAATTTTACAAACACACAAACTAGTCCCATGAGTGAAAACCCTACATGAGATCCATTATGGATATGCAACAGCGAGCAAGGATGCAGAACAAAGCTGCCTTACCGCAGAGTTTTTCCTGAGTCCTCAGTGCCTCATCCAGTCTCTCTTCCACCATCCTTCGCCCCATACCAGACTCCTTTCTAACCACTGCCAGGTCGTACTCCAGACGCTGTCGCAGGGCTTCTCCTTTTTCCACCTCAGACCGCAGCCTGGCAATCTGGCTCTCGTAGCTTGACAGCTAAAAACAGATTCCTGAGCTCATGAACGAGCACTAAAACATGTATCCAAGATGATGAGATTTGCATACTCAAGCATTTACATTTCTTAGCAAAACCTCGATTCGCATTTATTAGAATCACAAAGTGACATCTTCTCCAACACTAGAAGGAAGCTCTTGCCTTACCAGACAATAATCAGTGCCTTATAGACTCCTTTAGAAGAAAGGCCTTTTTAAACAAACAAAAGGAAAAAAGCACATCTGAATCACAAAATCATGCCTAGAAAACAAAAAATGCATGACACATAATAAACACTCAAAAATTCATGCGGTCCTCTACTTTTATCTCCTAGATGTACTCAAGAAGAAAATGGGTTGGGGAAGGTCTCGTCGGGGTCCCTTTCAGAGTGCTCCAGCATCATGAGGGGCAGCTCACAACCATTTGGGACTCCAGTCTCAAGAATCCAACTCTATTCTACCCCCTGAGGGTACCCACTCACATACACAGAGACACTCATTTAGACACACAGATAAAAAATAGGAAAAAAAAAAAGGTTTAAAAGAAACAAGTGGCAACAAAATACAATTTAGTGAATACTGTGTAATTTTCTTAAAATATCAGTGCCACTCGCCCCCTCAGGTGAACAGTGGGAAGAGAAAGCTCTACATGTGTTTGAGAGACTCACTCACTTTGCTGACGCAAAGCCATTGGTGGCTAAGATCTCTAGCTATGTCCAGACTGGAATCTCAACTTGGCCAAAAATCCATTTATATGATACCAGTAATGGGAAGAAACTTGATATTGGGCTAGAATTAGTTCACAAAGGATATGCAGTAGAAGTTCCTGAAGATGTGGAATAAGATGGAACTGTCCCAGATACGTTGAAGGACATGGCCACTGAAACAGATGCTTCTCTTGCCAGCATACTCAATGAGACCAAATAGAGCCCTGAAGAGACACCACATACCCTATCCTGCCTCAGTTTATCAAAGGTAACTATATAGTGATTTCTTACGTAGCCCAGACTGTCACCCAGATGCTGGCAGTATATTTCCTGCTTCCTGAGTGCAGAGACTGTAGGTGTGTGTTAAAGGCCTGTGTTACTGTGAAGGTTTCAGAACTAACTTCTCATCAGTTATCATTTTCATTAAATAAAATTATTTTGAGTTAGATTTAAAAAAAATCAGTGCCAGCATAAAATAATAAATGTGAAAATATTACAGAAATTTTAACAAAGGGCTATCTAATTGTGACACGCCATCAATTATTGGGACAAAAATGGCTCAGAAAGCTAGAATGTGGTGATCTATAAAGTCCTTTGTCACTCTAAAATTGTGATATAGTTAATGGTTATATAATTTATCATTTATAAACAATTAATATACTAAATAACATTTAATAGTTGCTATGTGGCAAATAAAAGAAAACAAATGTTATAGAGCCCTAAGCTGAAGGGCCTAAGTACTACAGAAAAGGTGGTAGACTCAATTTGGGTTTGGGATTTTGTGTGTGTGTGTGTGTGTTTATTTGTTTTGGGGGTTTTTTGTTTGTTTCAAAGAAAGGGTTTCTCTCTATAGACCTGGCTGTCCTGGAACTTACTATGTAGACCAAGCTGGCCTCAAACTCGGAGATCCATCTGCCATTGCCTCCCAAGTACTGGGATTGAAGGCATGCACCACCACTGCCCAGCTAAATTTTATAAAATAAATAAAAACAAATTTTTATAATAGTTTGAAGGAAAGTAAAAGTAATATGTGTTTGGTTTTTAAGTGGAAAAGAAGAGAAAGGAAGTAGAGCTAGGTGGGGAGGGAGAACAGGGGGATCTGGCAGGTGTTGGGGGGAGGGAAGCGATTAGAACATATGTATGAAAAATTTTTAATTAAAAAAATAATAAAATGCTAAATATTTAAGTCAAAAAGTAAGTAAAGGTCTGTGCTTTAAAAAAAACTAATAATAATCCAGGTGGTGGTGGCGCAAGCCTTTAGTCCCAGTACTTGGGAGGCAGAGGCAGGTGGATCTCTGTTAGTTTGAGGCCAGCCTAGTACACAGAGTTCCAGGGCAATCAAGGCTGTTATACAGAGAAACCCTGTCTTAAAAAACCAAAAATAAATAAAAATAAATAAATAAATAAATAAAATAAGAAAAATTAAAAAACCGAACCTAGAATGTAGCTCACTAGCAGAGCAATTGCCTAGCATTAGCTAGGTTTCATTCCCACACCACATACACACACAAAAAGAGAACAAGATTTAAATACAGAAATAAAGAAGAGTAAGAATACAAAAGGTCGGGGGCTGGAGAGATGGCTCAGAGGTTAAGAGCACTGAACTGCTCTTCCAGAGGTCCTGAGTTCAATTCCCAGCGTCCGCATGGTGGCTCACAACCATCCGTAATGAGATCTGGTGCCCTCTTCTGGCCTGGAGGCATACATGCAGACCATTTGGTCTGTATACATAATGAATAAATAAATCTTTAAAAAAATCTCTTTAAAAAAAATACAAAAGGTATATATACATACATATATAATTTATGAATTCTCTTGGAAGGAAAGGAAAACCAAATATACACATGTACCTATGAAATACTTATAAACTAATAAGATGTCATAGTAAAACAAAAACAAAGATGATTTCTGAATTATACTAATTCAAATTCTATACACAATGTATTTATTTAAGAAAAAGACTGTTCCATAATTCATACCCTAAAGGAATCTACATTATGATTTCAAAAATGTGTATGGTTTAAGCCTTGCACATAATACACACATAAGAGCACAGCAGTTGGGAAGCTGCAACAGAGGACTGAACTTGAGGAAGCTCTGTTACATACAAAGAGCTCTCTCAAAATAGTATTTTTCTAATTTATAAATTCTTTAGTCATCAATCATATCCATCAAATAATACATCTGGCTGTCAGGATGACTCAGCCGGTAACAGTGCCTGCTGCCACACCTGACCTCAATTTAGTCCCTGGTATAACAGGTGTCTGTCTTAATTAGGGGTCCTATTGCTGTGATGAAACACTATGACCAAAAAGCAAGTTGAGGAGGAAAGGATTTATTTGGTTCATATCACTGATCATCGAAAGAAGTGAGGACAGGAACTCAAACAGGGCAGGAATCTGGAGGCAGGAACTGATGCAGAGGCCCTGGAGGGGTGCTGCTTATTGGTTTGCTCCCCAAGGCCTGCTCAGCCTGCTTTCTTATAGAACCTTGGACCTCCAGCCCAGGGATAGCACCACCCACAATGGGCTGGGCCCTCCCCATGTCAATCATTAATTAAGAAAATGCCCTACAGCTGGATCTTACGGAGGAATTTTCTCACTTTCAGATAACTCTAGCTTGTGTCAAGTTGACATAAAGCTATCCAGCATAACAAGGAACCACAAGTTATCCTCTGACCTCCACATGAGTTCCATGGCATATGTTCTCATACACACAAAAAGTAAAATGTTTTAAATAATTAAAATACACTTAAGACAACAAACAAATAAACAGATTAAGGTTCAACTTAAACATCCCTATATGATTCTGCTGTTTGAACGTGTTTTCTTTATTGCAATTTCCTTTGAAGTACTAGAATGACAGTGACAAAGGTTAAATGTAGTTTCTAGTATGAAATGAAACAAAAAACTGAAACCCAACTCTGGGGGAAGGTTCAAGACGGGTTTCTCTGTGTAGCCCTGGCTGTCCTGGATCTTGCTCTGTAGACAAGGCTAGCCTTGAACTTGGAAATTCACTGCCTCTGCCTCCCAAACGCTGGGACTAAAGGTATATGCCACCACACCTGGCTGAAACTCAACTTTTAACAATACTTGGGAGGAAAATAAATTCTACCTCTGCATTGTGCTTAGTTGTCATTTCTAATTTCTCCTTCTTAGCCCGATGGAGTTTCTTTCTGAGATCGGCAGTGATATCTGATTCCATTTCATTTTTAAGCATTTGCTTTGCATCCAATGAGACATTTTTCAACCTACAAAACAAGTTCATGATAAGACATAATTTTCATGCAATAAAAAATTCTAACATCATTTCTCATAGCTTATTTTAAAAACAGAATATGAAAATAATAAAATATGATAAGGTCCTAAGATAATAAATTTACAACCTGGTAAAATGTGTCTATTGCAAAACTGGAGTAATAATGCAAAGTGGTATTTTACTTGTAACAAAATACTGTCCACTGAAAATACACTACATTTTTCAAGCTTTGTATCTAAACCAGCCCATCACATCCAATGCTGGGTACTTTTGAAAGAGAGAGATTTCTTTCTTTATTAATGTATTTCAATCACTGTAAGAGTAATACACATTACAAAAAGAAAGTATAAATAACAGAATACACATTCTTTTTTAATAATTTACTTTTATTTTATGTTCACTAGTGTTTTATCTGAATCTATGTCTGTGTGAGGGTGTCAGATCCCCTGGAAATGGAGTTACAGACAGTTGTGAGCTGCCCTGTGGGTGCTGGGAATTGAACCTAGAAGAGCAGCCCTTGCTCTTAACCACTAAACCATCTCTCCAGCACCAGAATACATATTCTTGCTTTAAAATGGCAAACTATACTCTCCCTGAAAAATAACAATGATAATTACAACAGAAAAGAGCTCCCAGATAGAGAGCACAAGGAGAAAAGAAGTCACAGCAATAGAGCAAGCAGGCAGATGACTGATTTACCTAACAATTCAAAGCAAGCAGTTAGGAAAGTGATCAACATGCCAAACGCACAGCTTGCAGCAGAGGACTCTATAGGGTTTTGGTTGCTCACTTTGTCCTTGTTGAGTTATCAACCAGACACAAGCTAGAGTTCTCTGGGCCAGGGGGTAAGAATGGGGGGACCCCAATTGAGAAAATGTCTCCATCAGGCCTGTAAGCAAATCTGTAGGACATTTTCTTGATTGTTATGTAAAGGCTCAGTGCACTGTGGGCAGTGCCAGCTTTAGGCAAATGGTCTTGAATTTTCTAAGAAAGCAGGCAAGAGCAAGTCAGGAGGAGCAAGCCAGTGAGCACCATTCCTCCATGCCTCAAAAAGCTGCCTTCAGTGATGAGCAAAGGGGTCAAGACCAAGCTGGAGAAACCCACAGAAACAGTTGACCTGAACAAGAGGGAGCTCATGGACCCCAGACTGATAGCTGGGAAACCAGCATAGACTGTTCCAGACCCCTTGAAAAAGGATGTCAGTTTGGAGGTCTGATTAATCTATGAGGCCTCTGGTAGTGGATCAGTATTTACACAAATGGACTTTGGGAGCCCACTCCACATAGAGGGATGCTCTCTCAACCTAGACACACAGAGGAGGGTCTAGGTCCTGCTCCAAATGATATGACAGACTTTGAAGATCCCCCATGGAAGGCTTCACTCTTCCTGGGGGAGCAGAAAGGGGATGGGCTAGGGAGCTGGTGAGGGGCAGGAGAGGAGAGGAGGGAGAGGGAAATGGGATTGACATATAAAACAAGCTTGTTTCTAATTTAAATTGAAAAAATAGAAAAAAAAAAAGCTGCCTTCAGTTCATATCCTCACTTCCCTTAGTGATGGAGAGGGTCTTGGGAATTTTAAGCTGAAACACACCCTTTCCACTCAAAAATGCTTTGGTCATGGTGTTTTATCACAGCAACAGAAAAATAACTAAGACAATCTTCAGGTCCAGCTTGACAAAGATCATGGACTGCAGGTCAGCGCTGGTGCTTGGCCTCACAGTGAATTGTACCCCATGTTGCTAACTCAGCTGAAAGTTATCATGACTATACCAATGTAAACACTAAATAACAAAATTAACCAAGACTATATTAGCACGTGTGGGAAAAGTGGAAAGATGACATGACTGGAAACTGAATTATAATTATCTGTGGTGAGAAATCAATAGGCAATGATTAAAACTGAAAAATCAAATAACAGCATTAAGAAATATCAAATCATTCAGATGAAAAAAAAAACTATCTCAAAGAGCTAAATGTGGTGGTTTTGGAAATTAAGAAAGAGATTTGTCTCAAAGAAATTAGCACTGTCTCTCCAATAACAGTAGACCTGGGGGGGGAGTGGATTGAAAATATGTATATACAACTAATTTAATTTCTTTCAATACTACTAAAATAGAAGAGATAAAATCAGTGAAACCAATATTTAGTTCTTTGAAAAGATAAATGTGATAAATTTTCCTAGATTAACAAAGAACAGAGAAGAAACTCTGCAGTATTAGGGATTGTTCTTAGAGCTTCACACATGTGGGTAAACACTCTACCACTAAGCTATATTCAAGCCTTCTTTTTATTTTTTGTTTTGAGACAGGGTCTCACCAAGCGGCCAAGGTGAGCCTTAAACTCTGTAGCCCAGGCAGGCCTTGATCTTGTGATCACCCTGCCTCAGCCCCCTTATCAGTTAAGATTACAGGCCTGTACCACCAGACCAAGCTGATGTCCAACTTGATAAAGACCATCTACAAACAACCCATGATCCTAGCATATGTGATGGTTAAAGGCTAAAAGGTTCCTCTAGAGAGAATAGAGCAAAGACAACTGCTGTTAACAACACTATTCAAGATTTTATTTAGCAGTCTTAAATGGTGAAGGGTGGGGAGGGACAAAGAGAGATGTATATTGGACTGGAAATCTGTTTTTCACTGCAAATGATATGATTTTATAAGAAAATACTAAGAAATCAAGTGAGAAGAAAAAAGAACTAAAAGTCAATTTTAGCAAGGTTATAAAAATACAAAATTGAGGCTGGAGAGATGGCTCAGAAGTTAAGAGTAATTGCTGCTCTTCCAGAGAACCCAGGTTCAAATCCCAACACCTTCATGGTATGTCACAGCTGTCTGTAACTCCAGTTCCAGAGTATCTGACACCCTCATACAGACATACATGCAGGCAAAACACCAATGTACATAAAATACAAACAATTATTACAAAATACAAGATAAATGTGTAAAAAATTTTTTTCTTGCTGCTTTTGGTTTTTTGAGACAGGGTTTCTCTAGGTAGCCTTGGCTGTCCTGGAACTCACAGATCTCCATCAACCTCTGCCTCCCAAGTGCTGGGATTAAAGGCATGCAGCAGCAGCACTACCACCACCACCACTGCCCTGTACAAAATTAGCATTCCTATATACTAGTAATGAAATCAAGAAAAAGAACTCTATTTGTAACAACATAAAAGAGAGAAAAATAAATTTAGCAATAAATTTAACATAATACAACACGTTTACCCTAAAAAAAAAGTTACTGAAGTTAAAGACATAAATCAATGAAAAGACATCCCACAATCACATTTATATTTAGAAAACTCAGTATTTCTAAAATGGTAATTGTACCTACAGATGCAATATAACCTTTTCTCACATCCCAGAAAAACAGAAGGCCCTTCTGTAAAAATTGACAAGCTGATCCTAAAATGTATATGGGAAGCCAAAGGATTCAAAACAGACAACACAATCTTAACACATGAGAGAACTTCACTTCCCATTTTCAAAACTTACTAGAAGGGTATCTATTATGGACTGAATGGAAAAGTCTTCCAGAGCCTCCTGTCTTGAATAAAAGGCTTGATCCTCAGCTGGTGGCACAATTTGCAGAAGTGGCAGAAGCCTTAAGAGGTGTGGCCTACCAGAGGAGGTAGGGTACCTGGGGAATGTCCCTGTTTGCACCCTGTTCCTCCCTCTCCTTTCCCCTCTCTGACTCCCAGCCTCCCTCCACAAGGTAAGCAGCCCTATAGTACCTGCTCTTGCTGCTATGATACTATGCTTCACCACAGGTCCACTACAGGGGAGGCCCTAACCAGAGTCTTACACTCCCAAAACCGTCAAGTCCAAACAAACCTACTTTCTTAAACTTCTCTCAGAAAGCCTGCCTGTGTTGGCGAACGCCTTTAATCCCAGCACTCAGGAGGCAGAGGCAGGTGGATCTCTGTGAGTTCGAGACCAGCCTGGTCTACAAGAGCTAGTTCCATGACAGTCTCCAAAGCCACAGAGAAACCCTGTTTCGAAAAACCAAAATACAAAACAAAAACAAACAACAACAAAAAAAACTTCTCTCATGAATATTTGTCAACAATAAGAAATTGATGCATTTCAATAATCAAGACAAGGTAGTATTAAGAACAGACAACATGTTTAAAAAAAACAAAAAAACAAAAAAACCTCAACATGTTTTAAAAAAAAACAAAAAACCTTAGTGTACTCTTGACCATTTGGCATTACCTGTGTATGCAGTGCCTAATACCACAAAAATTAACTGATGAATTTTCAGAATTTACACTCTTGAAAAGCCTATACTTATATGAACGAGCAATCTTCAACAGCAGTGCAAAGGCAATTCAATGAGGAAAAATAGTATTAACAGCACATGTTCTAAAATAACTGGCTGCCCAGGTGTAAAACATAAGTTTGACTCCTTACCACACCGAACACAGAAGGTAACAAAATGGAACACACGTAAAAAATAAAATTGCAAAAACTTCCTGAAAGAAAAATAGGAGAAAAATATTCAAGATCTTAAGTATGTCAGATTCCTTTGATATAAAATGAAAAGCATAATCCATGCAGATAAAGAACTGAAAAATAGAACTCTGAAGTTAAGAGTTTGCTGGGCAGTGGTAGCGCATGCCTTTAGTCCCAGCACATAGGAGGCAGAGGCTGGTGGATCTCTGTGAGTTCAAGGCCAAGATGGTCTACAAAGTGAGTTCCAGGACAGCCAGAGCTATTACACAGAGAAACCCTATCTCAAAATATCAAAATATATTATGGATGTCTATTGATGTTTCCTTTCAAAATTGAAAAAACATAATAAATAATGTAAAGCATTATTATAATTCTAAAGTATATATTTATATGATATATTGCTATTTCATTTTTACCAAATTATTAATGGCCAACTTTAAGAGGTAAGATTACATATACATATCTACATAGTCTCTCTACCAATCTCAAACCAAGTATAAAGAATTATCTACAGCTTCAGCTGTGTGGTGGTAGTGCACACCTTTAATCCCAGCACCAGGGAGACAAAGGCAGGTAGTAGAGCTCTGAGGTCAAGGCCAGCCTGGTCTGCTACAGAGTGAGTTCCAGGACAGCCAGGGCTCCACAAAGAAACCCTGCTTGAAAAAACAAAATAATAATAAGAATTATCCACAACTAACCTTTTTGATTCTGTTGCAGAATATATTTTAAATCATTTAATTAAGGCAACTGACAGACCACAACTCCAAATGTTCTATTTTTAGATTCTGCAGAGATTACTCTGTTCCTTGACTATAAAAGTTCTAAACATTTAATTTCCTGTCTCATTTTTTTGTTTATGTGAGACAGGGTCTCACCATGCAGTCCTGGAAATCTGAAAATTGCCTGACCACCAGAACTAACAAAAATCTCCCTACCTCTGCATCCTGAGTGCTAAGAATACAGGCAACACACACCAGGCCAGGATAATTTTGATTACTGAACTTATTTTCTTGAAAAATGCACACCCTAAAATGGTCCATTTGGTATTCTGGATCCCATCCCTCAAAGGCAATGGAATAAATTAAGCATCTAGGACAGAAAGAAAAAAAAAAAAAAAAAAAAAAAAAAAAAAAAAAAAAAAAAAAAGGAACAACATCAATGAGACAGGTCTTATTGGAATGCACTCAAAGACACCAAAGAAAAGCAGTTGGCAAGAGCAGGCTAAAACTAATGAAGCACTCAGGCAGCCAAGTCAGAGTTGCAGCAAGAAAGCAAGGAGGCAAAACCACAGAGATTATGGCAAGCGGGTAATAGCCAGACAAACATAAACAGACAGAAACATAGGAGAGAAGACTGGAATCATGGAGAATATACAAATCTCTAGCAAGAGGAGAAAGCTTGGACACACAGACCTTTCTGATTGAAGTTAACAAAGCATACCAGGGTCCTGAGAGCCAATACTATACTCAGAATGTGTTGCTACTCTTTCAGTCCCAAGAAACCTAGGTCCTTCACCACCCCATAAGGATCCTTGTAATTTGCTTCACTCACTCAATTCTCCCTGGTTCTTGCCATCACAATCATTCTCCAACTAAAGGAAGAGACTGGAGGCTTACCTTTGGGTATCCCCAGTAGTGGCATTACTTGAAGTGTTTAAACTCATGGTAAGTCTTCCAATCTTTCACAGCACCCCACTGTTTCCTAATGATATACTTCCTCGTGGTGATGTCTTGACTAACAGGTTAGATGGACAAAGTCTGTTAACATAATAAACAATACAACAGCAATTTTATATTCGAATCCTGGGAAGGAGAGCTTTATTTTGATCTACAGCATATTTGTTAATTTTTAATTATTGTATAGAATAGAACACAGATAATTACAAAAACCCATCCCATAAAGCTGGGTGTGGTACACATACCTTAAACCCAGCACCTGGGGGAGGTGGGGGGGGGGCAACGCAAGGTTATCCTTGGCTTAGTAAGGTGGAGGCCAGCCTGGGATAAATGACATCAGGTCTCAAAAGATAACAATGATAAAAATGCTATGGGGATTTTTATTTGAAAAGCATTAGAAGCAAAATAAAAAGGCAAAATGTTTTTTAAAAGTTTAAAAACATGGTAATAGTTAACTTATTTATTTATTATGTATATACAGTGTTCTGCCTGCATGTGTCCCTGAAGGCCAGAAGAGGTTACCAGATCTCATTACAGGTGGTTGCAAGCCATCATATGGTTGCTGGGAATTGAACTCAGGACCTCTGGAAGAGCAGCCAGTGTTCTTAACCATTGAGCCATCTCTCTAGCCCCAGTAATAGTTAACTTTTAATCTACTTTAGTTTCTAAATAAAAATAAGAGTGACAAATTATTCTTGCACTTGGAAAGGAATATATATATATATACATATATACGTATATGTATATATATATATATATATATATACATACATACATATATACCAACCTTTGGACACAGAATTCAGTTTAAATAAATGAGATATTTTAACACAGTGTTGTCACTGAAGATGTCAAAATACTCCCAAACAAAAGATCTCATAATAATTTGCTTCTTAATTTCACATTTTTTTATTCAAAGACTCAAAACAAAACCACCATAGTTAATAATCCAATCAATCATACAATTGAGAAATGTCTTTTGGTGTTTTAATAAGTCCTAGGAAAATGTAGGCAGTGGTGGTGCACACCATTAATCCCAGCACTCAGGAGACAGAAGCAAGAGGATTTCTGAGTTCAAAGCCAGTCTGGTCTACAGATCAAGTTTCAGTACAGCCAGGGCTACACAGAGAAACCCTATCTCAAAAAACAAAGAAAAAAAGTCCTAGGAAAGAAAACTATATCATTATCTTCAACCAGAAAAATAAGTTACTATTAGCATAGCTGTGGCACTAGTAAGCAAAACAGAAAACTAACCCGATCAAACTGTATACATCACTGTGGAAACATTTCGCACCAATCGATATGAGATGTCTTCCTTCATAAATTAATGTTATAATTTAACCATTACCTCCCAAAGAGAAAGCAGGAAAGAAAAAAAAAAAAAAAAGGAAAAGGCTTGTCACTCACTCTGGCTGACCTTCTGGAACACTCTTCTACAGGAGATATTCCAAATTACACAGAGCCAACCATGTAAATCAAGTTACTTTACCACAGTGCTAAACTCTACGTAAATGCTCTAAGCAGAGCCAATACTAATGCAAATATCAATATCCCACAAATACCTCCTTATAGTCCCTAAAATCCAATGTCTTAAGAAAGATTGAACTTTAAACTCAAGACCTGACGTAGTATGGCTTTAAGCAAGACACTTAAGAGTCTTTTGAACATCCTCCCTCTGCCCAAAAGAGTTGCCTATGGCAAGCTTCTGTGTTCTAAATCCCACACACAGCACACCCAGGCCTCAGCCGCTATCAGCTTTTATTACTGGGTCACAGAACTTGGAAAAGCTTAATAATCCCCAATAAAAGGAAATAGTTGGGTAATGTGGTCTGGAAATCGATGTAATAAAGTAATTATTTAATGATCTTGTGAGTGTACAAAGGTACCCAAAAGACGGAAACAAGAGAAGTGCCAACATGTTCTGCCTCTGCCCCGTTAACCAAGACTCAGAAGAGACCATGGAAGGAAGGTATTCAAATGATGAAGACCAAAACAAATCCTAGTACTGAGAAATAATGATTCCAACAATCAGTGACTCGTGCAGCTGAAAGAATAATTTGGTCCAGGGAAAACAGGATGAAATTTTAGCCAAATCCAGAAAAGAAAAATCTAATTTCTCCAGTGACCTAAATAACTAAATTTAATCCTGACAAACACTGTCACTCATCTACTGAGCATTCCCTGCAGCATCCAGAACTATAGTTTTAGTATATAGAACTCCCTCCCTACAAACACTGCAATAAAAGGACTGTCCAGTTTTTCAAAGGACAAAAAGAAGACATAGAGTAAAGCAGAAATATCTTGAAGAAAGTGACAAGAGTTATAGGACCAAATGCCAAGCTGGGTGGTATGGCACCATACTGCCCGGCTTTATCCCAGCACTTGGGAGACAGGGGCAGGTGGATTGATCTCTGTGAGTTCGAAGCCAGCCTGGTCTACAGGACAGCCAGGGATGTTACACAGAAAAACTGTCTTGAAAAACAAAAAAACCAACAACAAAAAAGGACCAAATCCCCAATCATAACTAAGATTCCAAAGCCTAAGTTCTTTCTGCAAGGTCACATTATTCAGAGCATTCATGATCTTCCCCTACCTTTGTTACCATTGTTTCCATTACGGAAAGTAAGCTGGGACAGAGAAGCCAGGTGACTTGCCCAAGACCATTAAGGGAATGTGGGGAAGGTGACACTGGCACTCAGCCACATTTTTTGTTTGTTTTTGGAGTGTGATTTCTAAAGTTTTTTATACTACCTGGATGCTCCTAAAGATGAGACCCCAGACAAGCCTCCTTCAGAAAGTTTAGAAGAAGGGTTGGAATCTAGCAAAAACAGACTCTTCTGTACTCAGAGTAGTGCCCAGGGATCACTACCACACATAACAAAGGATTTTGTTTTCTTCTGTTTTAAATTTTATTAGTTTATGCATATGAGTGTTTCGATTGAGTGTATTTACGTGCCCCATGTGTCTGACTGGTGCAAGTGGAGGTCAGAAGAGGGTGTGAGATTCCTTGTGACTGGAGTTACAAACAGTGGTGAGCATCCAGTGTATGCTGGGACTCAAACCTGGGTTCTTTGCAAGAGGAACAAGTCCTCTTAACCAATCTCTCCAACTCAGCAAAGGTTTTCATTTCAGGGGGGGAGGCCAGGTGGGGTCAATATACACACAATCTCCATACACATGATATATACATATATACTCCAAAAGCATGAAGTTATTTCCATTTCACCCTCTGGGGAGAGAATTTTAGATGGACCACAGATGTAAAACAGTGGTAGGGAACCAGCTAAACAAGCAGGGGATCTTGAATTTGATCCTCCCCAGCACATAAACACACAAATAACAAAAGTAACTTTAAGTTTTAAAATTTTTATTTATTCATTTTTATGTTTATGAGTGTTTTTGCTTGCATTATATGTCTGTGCACCACATATGTGCCTGGTCTCCTGAGAAGCCAGTAGAGGGAGTCAAATCCTCTGGAACCAGAGTTATATATGGTTGTGAGCCACCCTTTGCGTGCTGGGAATTGAACTCAGGTCATCCAGAATAGCATCCAATGCTTTTTAACCTCTGCGATATCTCTCCAGCCCTAGAAATGTTTTAGATAGGAACAACCTTAAAAATGTTTATTTTTGTTTTATTTTTGTCTTAGGAACAAAAGAGGGAAAGAAATGATTATAACTTTGTTAAGTTTGTTGCAATAGCAAACATCATTTTTTCTGTGTATTTAGGCACATAACATCTTGAAATCTCAAGTCTTCTAGACATAGACTTGTATAGAGTCCCACTTGGGAGTTTCTTCAATCCCGATATCAGATCATTCAGACAGATGATGTGGTAAGAAGATGGTTTCCACATCTTCATCCCCAAAGTTACTTTCTTTTTTATTTTTAATTTCATGTGCATTGGTATTTTCCCTGGATGCATGTCCATGTGTGAGGGTTTCAGATCTCTGGAAGTGAAGTCTCAGACAGTTATGAGCTTCAGTGAGGATGCTGGAAATTGAACCTGGATTCTCTGGAAGAACAGCCAGTGCTCTCAACCACTGAGCCATCTCTCCAACCCCCAAAGTTACTTTCTTATGTAATATCCTGCACCTAACAAGGAACAACTGTGACTTGCTTCTATGACAAAGGTGACAGGATGACACTGCTATGAATATAAGACTGTTGGGGATGGTAGTATAGCTCATTGGCGCAGCACTTGCACAAAACATGCAGAACCCTATCCTCAAACCCCAGCACTCGAAAAATAAAAAGCCTACCACCTTTTTTTATTTTATTTATTTTATTTTGTTTTATGTGCGTTGGTGCGAGGGTATCAAATCCCCTGAAACTAGAGTTACAGGCAGCTATGAGCTGCCATGTGGTTGCTGGAAATTGAACTCAGATTGTCTGGAAGAACAACTGGTGCTCTTAACCAATGAGCCATCTCTCCAGCCCCAAAGCTTGTCACCCTTAAAAAAGCAAATTGCCATGCTATGAACTACCTAAAGGCAGGGCTACAGGGAAGTGCAAGCAGCTTCATGACCTCCACCCAATACTAATATACAACTAGATCCCTCAAGCACACCATTCACAAGAAAACAAACTCTGTCAGGGGCCTAAGTAAGGGGGCAGATCCCACCCAGTCTGCCTAGAGGTAAAAATACAGCCCAGTAAGCACCTTGTAAGTCCCCAAGCACAGGGCTCAGCTCCAGGGCTAGTAAACCACACAGACTGTGATAACAGAGGTGTGTTGTTGGCCAGCTGTGGAGGGAGGAGACACCTGTAATCCCTACACTTGGGAAGGAGGTTCCCCAACTCTAGACCAGAATGGGCTACGTAACAAAACGCAGTCTCAAAAGAAACCAGGAAATTAATAAAGCATTATTCCAAGTGTGCATAGTTTTAAAACACTCAAGTTTGTAATAACTTGTTATACAGCAATATAAAACTAATATTGATAGTTTGAAAATGCTGATAAGAGGGCAGAAGTTGCCGGGCGTTGGTGGCGCACGCCTTTAATCCCAGGGCTCGGGAGGCAGAGGCAGATGGATCTCTGCAAGTTGGAGGCCAGCCTGGTCTCCAGAGTGAATGCCAGGA